AGTTCCTTCCAAGCATTTTAAAGAATTCAACTAAAGCACAGTCTCATTTCCTTTAATGTCCCTAAAAACACAGAGTTCAATTCCTAACTTTAGAAGCACATTTTACAGATTGTTTCTATATTGGATGCGCTAACTTGTAAACTATCATTTTATGAAGACGATCTGAAAATAAAACTGTGAGTTGGTGATCATTGTTTGGAAGTTTGATTCAATTCTGAGCAATACTCCAGGAGAAATGGCGATTCTAGTAAATCATGGACCAAAACGAACAAACTTATGAGATAAGAAAAAATCCAGCAAAGACCTGACACAGGACCTGAGAGACACAGCTGTCATTCAGTTGATCCATTTATTGTTAATTAAAGCCTCATCACAAATGGTCCCAGTGGATGGGTAGCTGTCAGGAAGCAATGCTTAAGGAAGGGGAACTGGGAGAAAAAGCTGAGTTGTGCCAAAAAACCTCCCCACAAGACTGAAAATTAGTGGCAACTGATCTGATGGAGTGATGAATCCAAATGTGAAGTTTTTGGTTCAGTAAGTAAGGATGAGCTCAGGAGAGAGGTACAACAGTGAGTATCTACAGTCATCTGTAAAACACGATGCTGGCTCCTTCCATTGTTTGGGACTATATTTGAACCAGTGGTGTTGGGGATCTTTCAAAATTTATGGAAATATGAACAAAGAAATGTGCCATCAGATTTTAATCCACCATGTAATACCATGTTGAAAGCATCTGACTGGCAGTGGCTTTTTTCAGCAAGACAATGATCCCAAACACTGCCAATGCAGTAAAAGCATACCTGGATAGAAAAACACACAATGGAACATTTATCAGTCACGGATTGGCCTCCCCAGACCCGGCATCTCAACATGAATAAAGAGTGTGGGATCATCTCGACAGAGAACAGAACAAAAATCAGCCAACATCCAAAGAAGAGCTTTGAATGTCCTTCAAGCAGCCTGGAGAACTATTCCTGAAGACAACTTAAAGAAATTAGAAGAAAGATCACCTGAGAGAGTTCAGGCTGTGTTGAAGAATAAAAATTGCTACAATTGTACAAACTCTGTTTTTGCCTTAACATACTGTATTTCCATCCATTTTTGCACACGTTCCAATAACTCACTCTGACTATTTCCCATTTTCTGAGCAAAATATAAAGAAATGAGTGATTCAAAACTTTTGCACAGTAATGTAAATCTGATATAGTAATTGATTTAAGAATATTTTGGCGATCGTGAGAGACTTTGATATAGATGACCATTTACTTATGATTTAGCAAGACTATAATTAAACAAAAAGAAAATCCCCTGCTCTGTGATCAGTCCATCCATCCACTAATGCTCATTTACTGCTATTTTAATCCATCATGTTATGCAGATACGATCAACCCTTACAGACATTTAGACGATGAATGTATTTTACCACAAGATACTTTAAACATGCCTTCTTAAATCGCATAAACTCAATGCTCCTGAAACTTCTCTCATCTCATAATAAATCATTGCAGTAAAACCGTTCACGCCACCATTCTCTCAAAGCTGCATGCACAGGATCATTCTGCAAACGCAGTGCAAATAACACAGGTGTAATTGCTGTATTGTGACTTTGCAGTTGAAAAGATTTAGCAAAAACTTGGTGCTTAGCAGCACAACGTGTGGGGAAAAAGGGGCTGATCCAGCCTCCGCCAGCTGTTTCTTCTCGCAGTGTGAAGGGCTTGTCGGTGTTTTCCAGCAGTCCCTCCCTTCTGCAAAGCTTCCCAGGTGTAACGGCTGACCTGCCAGATTGAACCACATCAAACCTCACGAGCAGGAAGCTTTTCTTCACTGTTATTACTGAGATAAAGACCCTGTGTTCAGCACTGCGCTATTGTCATCCAGCCCGCCACAAATTTATGTTTATATGTCTCCCAAGAAAATTGTAAGAAAATAGAGACAGCTTCTAAAAAAAACAGAAAAAGGGTTGTATTAATATTTTATTTTCTTCTGTACTGTTTGTGTTACTTTGTGTTCCACACACAAAAGCTCAGGAAAGGCAAACCACCATCTTCAGCCACAGATCTTCATCTCTCTTCATCTCTTATGACCTGTTTCTAAGCCACCACCTTTCCAGTAAGTGCCTCTGCTGCTTCCCGCTAACTACTAGCTTTGCTTGTCTCAAAGAGTAAAATCTGAGTCTATCCTTCTTTCACTTCTGCCTCTTCCTCACCGTGAAATATTCTTCCCAGGCGGTACCGGCAGTTTCCACCAACATTAACCATCAGACATGAAAGCTTTGCGCTGACTGGAAAATAACACAGCAAAGTCTCAGGTCTAATTATGCTGGTTTAGTTTATGACCTGCCAGCTCATGTCCATTATCTTCCCCTCCAGCCTTTAAACTTCACCTTGCTCATCACTTCCCAAACCAGGTGGGGATCAGTGCAGTCTTCACTTTTCTTTTTTCTGATGGTTCTCCAGACTGCCTGTTCTCATTCCCAGGCCAGCTAAGAGATTCACACAGGGTGTCTTTTGGCATCTGAGGCATCATGTCTCACTCTTAACTTGTTAGGTATAAAAATGTAGTTGCTTTCTTAGAAGCCGTTCATCTCTCTTCAAGTACACCTTTAAAACGTGCTGGGTTAGAGCTGAGTACTTTTTGGATTTATGAAAAAACAAAATAAAACAGAGCATTCTGGATGAGAAACTTTTGATGTCTGCCACCTTTGTACCTAACTATATAGACTGCTAGTGATACTAAAAACACAGCAAGTGATATTATTTGGCACATAACTGCATAAAAATCCTCCAAACTTCAAAACTTAGAGGATTAAAGATCAAGCCTTGCAAGCAGCTGGTAACATCGACCTGTCACTGGTGTGCAGATTAGGCAGTTTTAACAGGTGAGTAAGAAGAGGGAAAATGAGTAACCAAAGGTTTTTTTTAAAAATTATTTTCATGTACACTTCTACTGTACAGGTGGGTATTTTAACGTGTCTCTAAGACTGACCATTCCATGAACTGCAGTCTTTGGCACCTCTGCATAAACACATGCTAGCTGTTTGATCTATGCCATCCATTTGGACCATGAATTAAAAAGAATAATAATTACTTCTTGACATGACTAAGATAGAAAACAATGTTTTTATGTTGTATGTCATGCTTATTGTAAATGAATCCTGCAGGGTAACTTATAAAAGCAAACTTTGTCTATAAAACATAGTCATATTTGGCTTTCCTGTTATGCAGAATTTACATATTTCTAGAGACAGTTACATTGTTCCATTGCACTTTGAATAAAGTAAGGTGCTATGGATGGCACACGCTAAAGTGGTTCTGTGAGTTTTAGACTCCGTAAGCGCTTTAGTAAGTGCTTTGTTAAGCATGCTCATTACTCACTCTGAAGCCTAAAATAATGCTGATTTCAGAACACTAGACCACATCCAGCTAAGCTTCTCAGACTAATGAACACACACGGCATCAAACTGATTGCATTTATATGCTTGGTGTATTATGCAGAGTTAGAGAGCTTGCATGTATATTTTCTGAGACTGTTGTGGAGGGCCGCACTGCTGAACTGAATTCAGTATTGAACTGAATTAAGTATTAGTATGTGTCTAGTTATATGCTTTATGTCATTTTTCTATTAATATTGTTATTGACATTATTATTGTTATTACGCAGCTTTCCGCAACAGTCCCAGTTTCTCATGTGACTCCTTAGGAAAATTAATTGCCCACTCCTGCCTTCGGCAATATAATTAGAGAGGCATTTCATTGGTCCAACATAGCCAGGCATATAAAAAATGAACTTCAGTTACAGGAAAAGAAAAACTAATTGCCACCACAGAGTCTAAATCCACAAACAAAGCTGCCTGCCAACTACTGAAGAAAAGATTTGTCACAGAATGTACTTTGACGTGACACTGTAGAAAAATCACAGCTGCTGTTAGCAAAATGAAAGCAGTCTCAGTCCCATTCATCATTGATAATGGGAAAACCTGCACTTTTCCTACGGACAGCACAATAAGAACGTTTTGAAATAGAGGTTTGGATGCCAATGATCAAATAGTTAACTGTAAATATTGTGTAAATGCATAGCTGATTTCACAGTCATGCTGATTGCCTTCATTTTTCTTATCTTAAAGACCCACTAAACATGTGAGCAAGTATCAGAGACAGAACTAGAAGCGATTGCCTTTGCAGAAATGGACATTCCCGGCATTTCTGAAGCTGCTGTTTCTGTGAGAGCGGAAATGATCCGTGACTGAAAACGCCGAGCTCCCGAGCAGTTAGCCTCTCAGATGTGAGCTTATCATCAGCTGTTAAGAGCAGTGTGAATTCCTCAGGCCTCTGGCTGCAGCCCAGAGCATTTTTGAGCTGATAGGAAGAGAGGGTGGACTGCAGGTGCAGATGTGGGCCTTACATCCAAAGCATGTGATGATTAGACCGAGAGGATCCGTGTTACTACTCGTGTGAGAGAAGGATGTCATCCATCAGCGAAAAACAGAGCGGGAGACGTCAGATGAATAAAGGAGTGATGTCAAGCATGACTCAGAGTTTGCAGAAACACATTTTGATAGAAGTGTTTAGCTTGGGTGTGTCTCTCTGTTATTGCCTAATTGTGGAAATGATGGCGATCCAGTCAGCAGCTTGCAAAATTGACTTTGATTCAACAATCAACTTAACTAACTCGTGTATGTAATACTACTTCATGTTTCACTTATGCTCGGTTTTGGTTGCAGTTTCCCATGATGAGTATTTATAAGCCGCTGGATGTCAGGCTGTCAAGATGATTTACAATTTCAGGACTTGGACATTAGACAAATTTAGATTTTATGGTTATGGTATTTCTATTTTTAATAAGTTACTTCAGGACAGGAAGCTGTAACACTGCACGCCCGCTGGTCGTATGTGGTTGACTTTCAGCTGGTGGCGGGAGTTGTCCTTTTATTAACACCTAAGCTGGCTGAGCGGTGGAGCAGCTGCAGCACAGCATTTGTCTTGTAGTGTTATGTAGTCTTACCAAGTTTCTGAGGAACGGCACGGTTACCAGGCTGCCACAATATCTCCCACCGGACAGTCGAGAGGAACTTCCCAGAAGATCAAATCTATTCAAAAGAAACAGAAACAGGGTGTAGCTGTGGGTGCGTTGTGGATGCACACTATCATGTCAAAAACCACTTGCTTGACGGTCCAAACTAGAGGAGAAGTCAAATCAAGGATAAAACAAGAAGCGCACACCTCTGCAGCGGCAAATCACTCTCTGGGGAGCATTTACTTTTAAGGGAATAACGCTGTATTTAGTACATATTCATTTTGTTTTCGCCTTTCTGTTTAAATGTTGCTTTAAGAAGTTTGCAGTGCA